GTATTGCTCAGCGCAAAAGACAATGTATAGCGATTCAATCTGTTCTCTAAGTAAACATGGTATTACATAAAATATTTGACATTATGAATGAGGTTGAAAAAATTGATTACGCTACATACTATACATCTATTCATTAATTCTCATCGTATACTCTTTATCATATATATATATATATATCATATACACATACACACATATACACACACACACACATACTATTTTGTGTATAGTATTTTCCTACATTATTTTCCAAAAACACGGCCCCTGAGATTCGATTGTGAAGTGAACATTACAACAAAAACAGGCAACTTCATTGGAATGATTGTTATAATTTGTAATTAATTGATGCATTTGCTCACTTTTGTTGCTCCATTTTCATTAAGCTGTGCGATACACAATCGAATCTCTGGGGATTGATTGTACATCTTGAAATGAAATGAAAATTACAAAAGTGAACAAAGTATTTCATTAAATATGAAATACCAATGAAATTATACGTATTTAACGAATATGCTCACTTTTGTAATTTTCACGTTATTTCAAGATAAACATTTATGTGAATGCAGGGTATCGTGAATCGACACGTCACTTCCGGACATGGACTGGCCACTGATCGATCGGTATACGCGTCAAGTATCAATATCAGGGTATTGGAACACATCTTCGGAGACGACGGCATCGGCACGTTCGACGGGACGTCGCGCTGTCACTGCCGCGCGGTCGACCGTCCGACCGTCGTCGACAGCGGACGCGAGGCGTCGCGTCGCATCGCATCGCGTTGCGTCGGGTCGGGCGAGGAGCCGAGGAGGAGGTACCCGCGCGCTTTAATCCCAGGAATACCGAGGCCGGTTCGAGCGCGGGCCGCCGAGGACGACACTGGCGAGAGAGCGCGAGCTTGATACCTAACTAGCGTTGTATGTACAGTCAGTACAGTCCGCGCAGAGAGTAGAGAGTGCCGCTCGCGTACACGTATATAACTATGTACGTGGTCTAGAGATGCCGTACTAAGGAGATGCCTAGTATCCCCGCGGAGCCGCGGGCGGTCGACAGCAACTCGATTGACAGCACGTCGCCGTACAGCCTGAAATCGAGGTTTCGCACCGAAGACCGGGAACGCGCGCGCGCGCGCGCGCGATAGCATGGCGCTGTCCTCGTTTGAGAGTGTCGCGGTCTTTGGGACAGCTCCGGCGGTTCGCGGAGCTACGCCCGGACGACGAGTATGTACGTAGTCGGCGGTGGAGCGATACCGTCTACGTATGTACATCTACATCCCGTTCTTCCCCTGTTTTACCCTCGATCGTATCGAGCGCGATAGTGGTGGTGGCGGTGGTGGCGGCAGCGCGCTGCTGGTGCTGGTGTCTGTGTGGAGGCGGCGGCGGTGGGTTAGTAACGATGATGAGAATCTTTCGCGCCACCTGGTATAAGAGTATCGGCGCACAAAGTGAAACGTCGTCGTCGTCGTCGTCGTCGTCCTCGTCGTCGAGGGAAAGCGTGAAAACTGCGAGAGTCGACGCGAGTACCGATTAGAGGGAACGACTAGAGGACACGACTTTCCTGTGCTGCGGATCATACGGATTGTTCACAATTCCACCGATACGTCATCTTCGTCCTTCCGCTCCTCTCCCCTCTCGTCGTGTAACATGGATAGCGCGCGATACCGTCGGCGGTGCGCGTAGGTGGACGGACGAAGCTGCTGCTGCTATTGCTGCTGCTGCTGCTGTTGCTGCTGCTGCTGTTGCTGCTGTTGCTGCTGCTGCATGTTATAACCTCAACGGAGGGAACATTGTGGCGTGACGGGATCGCCTCAGCTGCACTGCGAAATGTGATTTCGCGCTATTCAATCCAAGGGTGACCCTCTCGAGCGTCGAGGATGAGGAACGGCTTCACCGACATACCGGTCGCGAGTGCCGACAGCAGCACGGACGCCATATGGCTCGAGAAGAGCAGTCCGTCGCGGATGGCACCCGAACGAATGTCACTGAGTATGTTTCTCCTTCGTACACGTCCCGTTCGCGTGTGCCGTGATCGCGTGGACTCGAGAATGCGATTCAGTTCCGTTTACGGAGTCTTCTCCGTGCTGTCGGTCGCGATTGACACGCGGGAATCGAAGAAAAGGATCGCGGATTCTTTTACGTTCCACGCCTTTTACGTGGCACGGAAAATTCAATTCGCTGGCGATCTCTGTCTCACTCCGAAATCGTCGCGCGGAGGACTTCTCCAAGTGAAGTCGACGGTAAATCGACGTAGTCTCTTGGTGTCGCCGGAGCCAGAAGTGTTTACATTTACGCGGTTTATGCCTCGCTAATCATGACATGCCGCGTCGTGTCATCGAGCGCGCGCGCGGGATCGATCGAGGATCTTCAATCGAGACGCGTCACGTGCGCGACAAGTCGGTTTTACCTACCTGTTTCCTTTTGACACAGCCGGTTACTCCGACCACTCCGGACTGGCGTGTTTACGCTGCACGCTGGATATATTCTCGATTGTTTTGACACGTCTCGAAGAGGCTTTAATTACTATCGGATCGATTTGATCGCGGAGCGAAATTTGAATTCTTCGATCGTCGCTCGGCGAAATGCATTAAGACAATTTTTTGATTGTAAATCGATCTGATCAATCGGAATTTTGATTGTCTCAACTAGAATTATAATAAATTCAACAAAAAAAAAAATTCTGATTTGTCCATTTTCAACCAGAATTCCATAACTCATAGGTAAAGAATAATAAGTAATAATACATGTCTCTTCTATTTATTTATAGATGTATGACATGTGTAATAAAGTTTACTAATTTTAAATAATTGCAGTAAAAGATTGAAACTTAAAGATTGACAGTCGTAAGTCATCTGATTTCAAGTTATTTAAATCAAATTAATTACAGTTAGTTAATTTAACGGTTGCGTATTACGAAGTATACATGAAAAACTAGAAATTAATGCTGAATTTTATCAATTAATATTGTCTGAAGGTTGCGTGTTACGAAGTATACGTAAAAAGCTGATGATTAATCTAGCTTCATTAATTTATATTATCTATTAGTTCTGTACATTCTAAAAAATATTGATATAAATTTAATTTTTAATTATAAATAATGCGGTATTTATATACATAATTTTTATCATGTGTTAATGTTAACACATGGATTTAACACTATATGACGTCTACATATAATTTTCACCGTTAATATGGATTTTTAACTCCTGATGTTTGTATCTACCATCATGATTTAAAATCCATGGTGTTAAATCTATATCATGTTGATGTTAATATTAATATCAGTATATAGTGAATTATATAGATATTGTATAGTGTTAAACATTGATATTTTCTAAAGTATATAAACATTATTTACGATTAGTTTTGTGTTGGTGACGTAATAGATAGGCCTGAGCATCAGCACAAAAAAGCTATTTTTATATTGGCGCACGAGAAATCGGCCTACATACTAATTGCAAATCGATTTAGAATTTATCGGATGATTTAACGATGCGTTGTCGCATAATAATTAATAAATTTACATGATAAATAACCAGGAACAAGATTTGACTGGATTATTGTACATGCTACAAAAACATTGGCAATACCTAATTGAATATATTTTATAAATAGCACGTCTATCGACTGAACTTCTTCTGCTGATAATACTCATTCTTGCAATGCAATTCTCGACTTCCATGATACAATAAAAAAAAACATTAGTTTTCTAGGCACAGTGAACATTGAAATTTTTCCAAGTATCCTTTTGAAAAATTTGCACTTATGTAATATTATTCTCGCGATGCGATATGCATAACAGGTAACTAAACGTTAAACACAACTTTAAATACTTTCGAAAATATAAGACTTATACGTCCTCGTTTTTCAGATTTTGAGAAAGTCGTCGTCAAGCAAGAACGTCCAGACGATGCGGAAATCCGTGAATTGGCTGCCAAAATGGTGGAAGCACACAAGGCGAAAATGCTGGCGAACATGCCAGCAGTACAACAACAACAACAACAACAACAACAACAACAACAGCAGAGGCAGCAGTGTCTTATACCGCAGCCTAATCTTCCCGGTATTCTTGGATATCTGCATAAACGACCAACTGATGGGTCATCCGCTCCGAAACCGCCGACCGGTGGTTTGGAAAGTAAAGTGCCGACGCCGGACGACGACAGCCAGCGGGGACGTTTCGGTTGGACGAGCTTTGACGAATGTCACATACCTTATATATTTCGCTCCGGTGAAAAGTATTGCGCCGTACGCATCCTAGAATCTAAGCTTCTCAACAAGTACCTGAGTTTTCTTCATTCGGACATCTACAGTTGCACATGTATAAGGAGTTATTACATTACGGAGGCTGAGAGCAAGTTATTTAATGAGATTAACACCAAGCACTGCGAGAATCAATTCGGGAGGGACGTGTTTACGTGTAAGGACCTGGTGGTGCGTTTATCGGACGCCAAGGAATTTTATACATTTCTCGATGTGTGTTATACCAAACTGACCGCCGGTACCAATCCGAACGTGACAAGCGGACGCAAAGCGGAGAAATGTGGTTTCATACGAATAAACAAAGAGTCTGTAGTACCTTACACGGTAAAGGACAGTCTGCAATATGTGCCGCTGTTTTATTTTGAGGGCGAGACGGAAAATCTCAAGCTAAAAGCGGAAAAACTTGAGGGTTGGGATTTGTCGTATTTGAAATTTTGCTGCAAAGTACAGGGTATACGTAACGAACTGTTTGCGAGTGAAACGTGTTCGGTAATTAGTTTGAGTGACATTAAGAGTTACTTTCCACCGGGTACCGGCTTCGAGGATTACTGGCCGACCAAAGTTATGGACTCACAGTTATTGGTGAACAGCAACGGAAGCGGTACCGGTGGTGGATGGACAAAACAGCCACCTACACCGCCGGCAACTAAACCTCCCTCCGTGCAGAACGCGAACAAAGTGGCACCACCTCTAAACACGCGTACCGTACCAATGCCTAATATGATGCCACGGGGGAATGTCGCGAGTACGGCACCGCAGATGCCGCGAATAGGACAGCCGAGGCCTGTAGTGACGCACCCCGCGCATTCCTCCCCATCGGGACTTCCCACCGGTAGATCAAATATGCCGGTAGTGTCGCAACCTATGCTGAATACCGTTCAAGGTGTGGTTAACGGCCATTGGTCAGGCCTCGTTGGTGGTCAACCTACCTTTCAAACGGCACTCACTCCTCAGGCCAGCATCATACGAGCGACTCTGAATAATGTGATGCACAACGTAAGCTAATCTCCTTGAATTATAAATATGGTTGCTACCTTTCGGCTAGTATTATTAAAAATCGATAGTTCTTCTATTGGACATGTCGAAAATCGATAATCACTGCTGAGATCGTTACTTTCTTCTCGTACAATATTCTTCGTCCAAGAGACGTTCTGGAAATAGTGTAGGGACATCTTTTACAACATTTCTTGGACTACATTCGGGAAGACGTTATTAGTGCTATTTGTATCATTCTATCTTCATTGTCCATTCCAGACAAGGAGACAAGATAGTATTATACAATTGGCGCTAATAGCGCGCTCCTCGAATGCACCCTTGGACGTCTATTGTATGAATGGTTTCTAAAAAAAAATAGAAAAAGAAAAACTTAACAAATTTAGTAAATATTTTTTAGTACATATTTCGAAAAAAAAATCGCTTATCTGAAGAGAAGCTCAACAAAATTTTAAGCGATTAATCGAAAATTTTTCCGTCACTTGAAGAGTCGGAGATTCATTCAAAAAGTTTCCATTTGAAAATCGGAGAGGTGGCAAATTATGATATGTGATGTCCGCGATGCTTTGATAATTTTTGTAGTTATAGCTTCAGTGTTTATATCGTATACCAGACAAAATGTACAGTTTTTTATTTTTAGCCACAGATGACAACTGCTCCCAAAAGCTATTCTCAACAGTCTAGAAGTAGAGGGAGCAGTAGTGGAGCAGCAGCTCAGTATCCTGGAGTATACTCGACAACAACTATGCAAGGGGTTGCTCAAGTCCAACCACCACCTCTTATACGAGCAACTGTTCACTCCAATCAACCGAATCTCGGGTAAGCATCAATAGAATTTTAAAAAAATTTTTGATATAGCTTAGTACGTATATACTTATGTGTTGTAAGCTCACAAAGTTTAAATTTAAAAGATATTTTTGTTTTTCTTTGATCAATAGTTTTGCAATTTTTTATACCGTACGCTTGTTTACAAAGCAAACCAATTAGCATAGAATGTACATAATATTCAATAAAATTGTTGCACCTATTTATTTTGTATTATGTATGGTATCGTTTACAAAAAATTAAAAATCGTATGTTGCAAAAGATAATTTTGATTTAAAAAAAAAAAGATTAATAATTTTCCTTTTTAATAAATTAATGTGTGAAAAAATAATATTACAATAAAACGGGTAAATGAGAGCTATAATGTATAATAGCTTTCATTTGCTCGTTTTATTGTGATATTATTTTTTAATATTGAGACTTCTATAAAATTAATTTACTGTTGTTAATGTGTGAAAGAAAGATATTTCACTTTTTATATACAGCACATTGAGCATGAAATATTAAGCATATGCTTATCCTAGCTTGAAACATTATGTTTATATATATATACATACATATATATATATATATATATATATATATATATATATATAGCATAATTATAATCGTTATATGTAGAGTATCTGCACCATAGCTTTCTGCATTTGTACATACAACGTATGATTTTTTTTTTGTATAGTTATCCCACCTATGGGAAGGATGACTGGTGAGTCCTTGTAACATATACTATTGTCATATAGATTATTATAAGAAATAAGATAGCATGCATAAATTTATATCTCAAACTGTAAATCATATAGATAAATCTAACATCAATATTTATAATTAATTTACATGACTGTCTTTAAAGCTTCTCTCTCTTTACGTGATACATTAAGTACATTTAACACATTAACACAGTCATGAATCTACTATACACACACAATATTTACGTCACATAATATTTCAAATTTTATAATGATTAATGTATGATTTATTATATTGCTGTCAATGTATGAACAAGTAGTCTGTATATATCTAAATAGTTAGGCAACTAGAAATATTTATTATCTGAAAAAATTTAGTAATTGTAATATTCCAAGTAAAAATCGAAAGCCAATTAGTTTATTTACGGTATGAGAAAGGCTTCGAACGACAACTAGTAGTCTTACAATGATTCTAACGTAAAATGATGTATTATATTTTATTATTATATTTACACTACTCAACAAAAAATAAGGAACACTTTCGAACACGCCCAAAATTGCGCAATATTCAAAACATCATAATTCGGTAAAAAAAATGCAGACAAAAAAATCAAAAAAACATTTGAAAGGTTGAAATCTTTACTTTTGAAATCGATAATTGATATTTCAATCTGAAACTAAACTCTTTACGAAGTTATATGGATATCCGTCAAATCTGAAATTTTTTTACAAACTTTACAAAGATCTATGACGTGAAGTAAAATACAAAAATGCGGTTTACAGCAGTCGAAAGAGTGAATCTGTATTTACTTTTAATTTGCTTTTTTATTGATCATTGTACGATTTTTTTTTCACTGAGTTATTCAACATTGAAGCAAAAATGATCATTTTTGCTTCAACGTTCAATAAAAATCAATGAAAAAAAATCATATAATACTCAATAAAAAAACAAATTGAGGGAAAAGATTCACTCTTTCGACTGCTGTAGAGATTTCAATCTTTAAAATGCTTTTTTAAAAATCTCGTTACGATTATTTTTGATAAAGTTATTTTATCTTGAAGTTAAAAGATCATTTAGAATTAGTGTTAAAAGAGCCAAAATCAAGGTTTACGTATCTCTACGAAAAATGATTACGATGTTTGAAATAAGCGTTTTAAAACTTAAAGCTAACTTTCGAATACTTCAAATCATTTTTGTATGTAAAAACTTTATTACAAGTCTTTACCTTTAATTTGCTTTTTTATTTAACATTGAAGCAAAAGTAATCATTTTTCAATAACTCGGTGAAAAAAATCGTACAATGCTCAATAAAAAAAGCAAATTGAAGGTAAAGATTCACTCTTTCGAATTGTAAATCTCATTTTTGTGAATTTTACTTTACATCATAGACCTTTATAAAATTTGTACAAAATTTTCAAATTTGATGAGTGATGATCCATTTGTCTTCGTAAAGCTCCGTAAAGAATCAGCGAGATTGAAATATCAATTACCGATTTCGAAAGTAGAGATTTCAAGCTTTCAAATGCTTTTTTGATTTTTTGTTTGCGATGATTTTTCATCGAGTTATGGTGTTCTGAATATTGTGCAATTTTATATTAGAAAGTGTTCTCTATTTTTTATTGAGTAGTATATATTATTTTCTAGAAATCATTTACAGAAGGTTTTATTTATCTATCTACCTGAATGAGAGATATTTTGAGTAATATGAGTAAAATACGTGATGGATGAATTAAATGACAGCATTATTATAAATCCATTTATAAAAGTGATTTTTTTGTCGTATTAATGAAATATATAATTTATGTATAGTTTATGTATCCCTTGCATATAGGAATCGCTTTTATATAAATCTACTTTATCTTTTATTTTTACAATTTAATATTGCAAAAAATGGATTTATTTATTAAAAATTGAATTAAATTATATTTGTAATTTGTACAAACATAAATATGTAAATATATGTAATTTAACCATATTTGCATAAATTTTGTGTTGTTTTTGAAATTGTATCGAATATTTTATTAATTTATGTAAAGATATAAAAATGTAACAAAAATAAACATACACACACACACACACACACACACACACACAAAATTAATAGCACTTATATTTATTGCCAAAAAGGTTAAAGACTTTAATGACAGAAATCAAATAAATTAAAATTAGTAACAGATATTCAATAAAATAGTAAAAAATAATATAATTTTTGTATTTCAGGGTGACCACGACATATACAACACCTACGTTAGGTGTACCTAATGCAGTCACAGCAACTACATATCCACAAATGCTTGGTTTAAGCGAACAAGTTCAAGCTTTAATGCCAGTACCTACATCAGCACCAAATTTATTACATCCACAAAGGCATACGCCATCTGTGCATAACACATCTCATTCGAAATATCCACCTCCTCTGATACCAGTTAATGGTAGCAGCGGCAGCGGCAACAATAGCGGTTCCAGGTATATATTATTATTCATTATTGGTAAGCTAAATGAATATCAAATTAATTCTTCTTTTGACGTATTCAAATGTATTATAAAATGTGTTCGATTCAGCGTACAATTCACGTTTAAGTTATTTTTTAGGGACACCCGAGGGAAGAAACCACTGATACCAATATCGGATCCACAACATATTACTACTTGTCATGTACAACCATACCAAATACAGAAAGCATTACTTGAAGAAAAAATGGTACCCTGTATTAATTTCAAACCTTACATCTATAGCGAATTACTGATGACACTTCCTGACTTCGTTTCCAATTTTTTTCCTGCTTGTGACATCGAGAGTTGTAGACAAGTTCTTACAGATGTACTACATATAGAATTATATCAAGGAAATAGGTAAATATATATATATATATAGATATATACATAAATAAATCAATATAGACAAATATAAAAACATAAATAAATAGATAAATGGGATAATGATTATATTTGATACTTATATTATTATATTTTATGAAATAATCTATTTTATGTAAAAGAAATAAAACTTTGCAGACTGCAAATGAAGATGTTAATGGAAGCAGGCAAATGTTCTTCATTAACAGAAGATCTACCTTTAATCCATATTAGGAGTATAATGAAATATATGCCACAATTCAAGTATATGTTCAATAGAGGAGATATGGTCATGCCTTCCCTAGCTCATTCGTCCGAAGAGCACCCTGCCAAAAAGCGTCAACGTACCAGCTAGGATTGGCTACAGCCTTACTGGCCTACTTATGACTATTATCATTCGGCATTCTAAAGCCGATATTCTCATGATCGTATTTTGGAACGCCTTTGAAAGTTAGGTGCATCTAAATACAAGTATATAACGTCGCGTATGATGCGCGACAAAATTTACATTGATTCTGACGAATTCAAAGTGTAAAGTGACACAGTGGTGAGAGCTATTTCTTTCTCCAAAGTGTATTGAAGAGGACGTGACCTGTAAATAACATTGAAACGTGTAAATTTAAAATATGATTGACAATTCAGATTTGCTTTCTACGTAGAAAGATTTATTTCAATAGTCGACATTAGATGTCGCTTTCGATCCAATTTTCATGTAAACATCTACTCTTCTCGTACCTTGACAATGAATCGCCGGATATGCGTAATTATAGTGTTCTGTGGCTTGGGAAAGATGTAAAGGGTACATATATAATTAAATTGTATCTTTTGTCAAATTGTCATTAAAATTTTTTTGACGTGGGCCGCTGTTGAAACAAAGCGCTTTACTTGCGTGCATCTGTCATTTGTCAAGACAATAACGATAAAGGAGGGAATTGTCGACATGAAAATCGAGTCGAAAGTTGCATCTGACGTCAATCATTGATTTATTTTATTTCTATTTTTGAGAGATCTGTTATAATGTAAAAATGATTATACTGTTACACAACAAAATAGACCTAAAATAGAGAACGGTCTTATTTTCAAATTAAATGTATCCTATCATTCCACATATACACATACTTTTGTCCCTCTCTTCCACACACACATACACACACACACACACACACGCGCGCGCGCGCGCAAACATGTGAGTGCGCAACATACAAACATTTCATGTCTACCTCTTTGCACAACAGTGAATACTATTCTTTTAGACTTCAATTTTGCGTGTGTTCTTATTGTGCATTAGTATCTTGTGTGTATAAAAAAGTAAAAGTTCTATTTTAAAGAAAATTCGGAGAAAGAAAAGGCTATTGTCCCATTTATTGTAAATGGGACATAATAATGCTATAGAGTTATTCAGAATGAATAACCTATTTTGCATATTAAATGTATATCAATAAAAAAAGCGAAAAATGGAAGTAAAGCTTCTTCAAGTTCCTAGCTATTACTAGTGCGTATCCTGATAACTAGCTACAAGCTAATTTCAAAGCGTTAGATCATTCATTTATTGCTATAATTTTGCGTGAGTTTTTATACCATTTTCTTAAAACTCGTTAAAAAGCGTTAAGGTAATTTATTGATGAACAGTTTTCGTTTCGAGTGTTTAAAAAATATATTGTGTATACAAGAATGTGGTGACGTACTGAGCGAAATAATGGAACGGAACATGCCTACTTAATGTGAAAAGATAGCAGTGAGCAATATCTCATGGAGAGAGATACATTTGTAGGATATATGAATAATGTACAAGATCTGACACTGTCATACAACTGATAAGAAAATAAAACTGATCTTTTTGTATCTTTTTTTTAAATATAATTAAGAATAATATTTCGCCATATTGCTGCTGCATCTTTCAGACATCGCACTTTTGTTTTAAATATTTCGAAATTTCTAAAATTTGTTACGCAATGATAAAATTTAATAATTTTTGAGTTTGTTGAAGACAAGTATCTCGTGATGGGTTTAGGTGAAAATTTATTGTCGAGTGGAAAAGACTGCGTCTATATATAAAAATATAAAAAGTTTGTAAAAGTGTACGACAAACAATATATTTATTATGCCAAATGCGTTATACGCATCAAGTGTGATACCCAATGTACGATAAAGAAAGAAACGTTATGAGTCCAAAATTGAGGCGGTTTCGCTAAAAGCGAAGCTTTATTGTGCAATTGTAATTGTTTCGCACCTTTAACCCAGTTCACAGATACGTTAAATTTATGTACGCATTTGAAAATGCCCAACGCATATACAAAGCTGTTAAGATATTTATATGAATATAACACGAAAATGCGACAAAAAAAGAACGTTCAAATGATGAAAAGAAATCTGATATTGGAACCACGTTAAAATAGTCTTCCACTTATGATTCATATAAATACACACAAATCAAATTATATTCAGTTCAATAAATTATTTCTCGAAATATTGACATTATATTAATCTGTCTTTAATAATTTGTTTTATTTATTTCCATTTACAATAATAGAATGCAGGACGCAGTAGGAGGCCCCTCTTCAGGGCATCGTATAAAATGCTATTTTATCTCTTCTCGATGTATAAATAAATGAATATATATATATATATATATATATACTTTCGTCACCCACTAATTTTAGCATAAGAAAGCTCTAAAAAAAAGTGTACATGGCAAACAAGTGTATATAAAGAGATAATTATAACGACTGATTCACGTCGAACGTGAATCTTCCACGTAAGGCAGAAATTGTTCGAATATTCTGTCTGTAGTGAATATAGTATATTATTTATGAAGCGATATATTTTGTGGTATTACAATTTGGAAGACACTTTGCATTGCGCTATCGAGAAACTTTGGACTGGTATATCTTATTATTACAACAAAGTGGAAAAATATTCACACGAAAATATAGAAATCCAAAGATAGATAGAGAGAAACGCCTGGCGTTTTATTATTTAAATAAAAACGTTTTTTTTTTAGAGCGATGATATTATTTCATTTAAAAACGCTAATGTTATTTATAATTTTATTTCTACGATATTCCATGTTATGTACATAACGATGTATCTGCAGTCAAGCGGATTTCGTTCAAAATAGTACGCATCAGTTTTTGTTTTACGTTTTATGTTTTTCATTTTATGTTTTATCATGCTCGTAAGCACATAAGTTTGATATAATTATATCAAATGATGAACTTTTGAAGAGACCTCAAATATATACATGTGACAAAGGAAAGTACATGTCGATTTTACTTTGTGATTCTTTGGCGACGAGAAGAGAAACGTCTATGAAAATTTGGAAATTATTTTAATGAAAATAACGCATACAATCTTATTACCTTGTAAACCATGTCGAATACGTGATTTTATTTTTCTCGAGGTAAATGCAAGAGATGGCTCCAGTCCAAGACATTAGTATATAATATCATTTTTAATATGTTAGATTAGCACATTCATTTGTTAACGTTTGTTAAAACTGTGTATTATACTTTATCATGCTATCATTTGTATATATAGAGCATAAGGAAATAGGACTATTAGACATTTCAAAATAAATTCATGATACAATCAATGGCAGTCAGTTTTCCTTCCAACATCTTTCGCGTGCATGTTTTATATGTTAAATTATGTTGTATAATTAACAGAGCATGGAAATACACATTACTTGTATGTCCCACATAATGGGGGAATAAACAAGAAATCGTGTTTCAAAATTGCCCAGAGCTTTCAAATCCTAATCCCCCTCCTTTTTTTAATAAAAGTTTATTTAATTTCGAAAAAATTTGTCGAGACCGATATTTTAATTAAGCTTTTTTTTCAAAATGGTTGATGTAAAACGGTGGTTGAAAAATGAGAAATCATATTTCAAAATTTAACAGTCTTCAAATCTTAATTTTTTTTTCGATAAGAGTTTATTTACTTTCGAAAAAAGTCGAGGTCAAATTGAGATAGAATTTTTTCAAAATGATGACTGAAAAAATAGAAATTACAATTTTAATCTGATTTGTACTAAATCGAGTGTATAATGTATATAATGTTCTTGATGTCGCAAATTATGAATTTTATCCCTAATAGTAACCCTCAACTACATATATATATATATATATATGTCTCGTTTTGAAGTTTTAATTTACATCCGAATCCAAGTTACCCACGGCATTTTTAACTGGCTTTGTAATTGTCACAAATCTCAATAGAAAAATTTTTTTTTCTAATGAAATGCCAAAATGTATAGAATCGAAATATCAAAACATAAAAAGGTTTTGATAATAATTGAAAAAGTTGTGTAAAAAAATATTAAAGAACAATTTGTGAAGAGTTCAATAATCAATTGTTTTTTTTTTTTCAAAAAGTCATCTTTATGATAAAAAAAGACAAATTATATTGATTCATTCCAAAAAGTATAATTTGTACGAGTAAAAAATACATTATATTGATTCATTCCAAAAATATAATTATTTGTACGAATGAAATGGGGGGAAATAATTTTTATATATATACATTTGGAATAATGATATGTCGGGTATTTTCTTTTTTAGAAATGCTATGTGATTTCGATATTATTTACTCATGATTTTATAACTCCGAGAAAATACAGCGATCGATTCACCAAGACGCCTCTCTCGCAAAAATTCTTTTTTTGACAATGAATATATATTTTAATTATAAAAAGAGAGAACACATGCTTGAATACAGCACTAATAAACTGGCACTTACTAAAAACGAATTTTCACTTTCGGTAAAAATCTGTTGAAGTTATATTTGACGAGTCCAAGTCATCCAAGCCAAACTTTTATAGCATTACAATTATAGCATCAAAACAACAACGAAACAATGGCATCATCGCGATTGGCAGAGAAAGATTCCAAATTTTTTTATTCCCTCACTTCAACTCTGCAACATTAACCGTACAAAAATAGCAGCCGACTAAAATTTTCACCCGGGTCCAAATGATAATTTCGCACTTCAGCATTTAATTAGCATCTAATTTTGAAATTCATTTAGTGCTGGTAGGGGGGGGGGGCTAACTTAACAGGGATTCCAAATAATTAAAATTACAAAATTCTTTATAATAAATCCAATATAGCTTTCATGAATAATAAAAATTTAAATATAAATAAACCTACCGTTATGAATCAATTTGTACAATATTTACATGTAAATAATATTTTTAATATAACACATTAAATATATTAAACATATTATTTAACATATATTCAACATATTTTAAATTTTATTGGTAATTTCTGCAAAGTAATTTAAATTTGGAAATGTGTTTAATGTGTTTACACTTCAAATGAACTATATACATATGACTATATACATATAAAAATACATATAACTATATACATATAAAAATTATATAAATAAGATTATATTTTTATTTAATAACACATTTATATAATTTATATAATTTATTTTATCTATTTGTTATTAAAAATTAAATGTTTTTAACATTAAGAAAAATCTCAATTTTTTTGTATAAGTACTTTAAGTATTCAAGATAATTTATTTCAATTACAAAATTTCATTGTAATTGTCTGTTTAATTCTTCTATAAATAAATAAATAAATAAAATAATTTTGTTTATTTACAAAAAAACTAATCTTCTGTATCGCAATGAAATTTTATATTATATAAATTATTTTGAATGTATAGGTATAATTAAAATACTTAACAAAAAATATGATTTTTTCATTATTTCTGAATATTTTCATTAGAACACATCTATATCTTATTAAAATAATTTTTTATCCAAGTAGAAAATCAAATTTTTTCTATTACTTTATACAATACTATTACAAATACAATATAAAACATAATTCATAATTTTTTGAATATTTTCAAAATATGTCTAATACATCCTTAAGAAATCGTTAATCATAAACGTTGTAACAGTTAAGAAATTCAAAACGGCGAATCAAGCGGATGTCAAATTGGATATAATTTAATTTTGCATAAAAATTATAGTAGGTTTCCGAGATCGCTGATTACAAATCTGAAGTCGATTCGATGTCGATTCCATTATCATTTCTGACTGGGGCGTAAGTAATTAGTCTCAAAACAATAAAATATGTGGAAAGATATTTTAAATAAAATTTGTATAAACAAACATGAATAACAAAAGGGCTATATACATACATACACGAGCTAGATTTTTCATATTTAAATTCTTAAAAACACATACGTTTCGCGACCTATTTGTCAGGACATCCTCAGTGTAAATATGTAAATAAATTAACACAAATTTATTTAAATAAATGTTATTTAAATAAAATGGTTAAATACAATTTCTACAAATTATAGTTTACCATGAAGAAATAAGTCCACCACGTAAAGTGGTGGTTACATTTTTCTATTACATCGGTCGCAACAATCGGTCGCTTTGTCCATAATGATAATAAAATTAGTTGAATGTAGAATCATTCAGTAAAACTGTACAAACACACATTCTGTTAATATAGATGTCAAATTAATATAGATTATAAAAATTATAAATAATATAGATTATAAAAATTAAACTGACAATGAATAAATGATCGTTATATTCAAAATTCTTAGTATATATATATATAATCCTTTAATTGACAACTATATTAAAGTATATGTGATAAATAAAATTAGTGTACATATACCTCAATGTAAAGCCAGAATAATCCAATGATTGAAACAATGGACACATTCAAATCGACAAAGCGGTTAGATTCGTTCGCCAAATAATTAAACATGATTGGTTGGATCCACAGGTAAGATTATGTTCATTCACTCGGCAAGCATGCCTAGCCGCTTTACCGGCTTGAACTCACATGAAGAATAAATAGACTGCGCAATCCGTATCTAAGTAATATTTAAATATAGTCGACAGTAATGAGAAAGAGGGACCATGGAAGGCCAATCTCTCTCTCATTCTCTCTCTCATTACACCGTTGAATGAGAAGAGATAGACCGTCTTCCATGAGTTCCATGGTCTCTCTCGCTTATTTTTATCGACCATTTTGACGCACGGATTGTAGTACTTTTCAATGTAATATACATACAGGGTGGCACCAATTTATGGCTCCGTTGAGCTGGTAGAGCGGACTAAACTCGAATAAGAAAATATTCTTTGTAATGATATAATCATTACTCAAAAGAAGAAGAATAACAATTGCGTTCTCTCTTAACACTAGAATGATATTTTTCTGCATTTTTCTACACTACCGCTCATGGAAGTTCGGACATGCACATAAATTTCATCGAATGATCGTGTAAAAAATTAAGACATAAAACAACAATTGTTAGACATAAATAAAAAATAAGATCTCCTTCTGTTATGTCTGACCACCGAATTAATTTTAATCATGAATTTGATTGGAATAGCGTCAAAATTTTAGATTGTGAATCATCATTAAGGCTTAAATAGGCAAAATGGAATCCTATTTTTCTATTTTTTATACAATCTCTTTCCCCTTCCTATTTTTTTTCTTTTTTTTTCTCACTCCTAATTTTACCTTTTTTATACTGATAATATTTCTCTTTTAGTTTGACTTTCAGATGACTCTCTCTTTTACAATAGTATTTTAGACAGTAACGATCATCTCTATTGCAATTGCTTGCACGCCAATCTCTACATATTGACTAAATTTTACATTACATTCTTTATTACATTTTATTATATATCATAAAATATTATATTATACACATTTTCGCTTACAAAGGTAAATTTTATATTTATTATGTATACATTTTTCTTTTTTACACTTTATATTTTAAATTCCATTAATCTTATTTATTTCTTTATTTTACTTAATATATTTTTTTTTCTGTATATTAACAGATTTTTATATTATTTTATTCGATTGACATATATAAGATTATTGACTGCTACGAACTTTTTATTGGCGTTACCATATTATGTTATCAAATTTTGTACTGCGATTCTTCAGAAATTGTGACTGATAATGAATTGTTACGTGCAAGGTTTTTACATCGAATCATTCTTATGGATTACATCTTAATTGAAGTCTGTATAATTAAGTATTTTTTATGTATTTGTTCTTAATCTTTTGCATTCTAACTTTAATTAATAAACGTTTTTAAACATTGATAAAATGACCCAAAGGAAATTGAAACATCTATTTATATTCTCTATTGTTTTTATTATTTGTTAGTTTATTACATTAAATTTGAATTGGTTTGGTTCATATTATTTAGCCCTTCGTATTACATTTATTTTATTTAAAATTTATTGTATAAACATTTAAAAATTATTTTATTTTTAAGTACGTTTAGGAATTATTATATTAATCGACAGATTAATAAAATATTAAAGTGTAAGACCGAAAATAATTTGAAGAGAACAATCTTAAAACATTATAAGAAAATAACATAGAGATGAATGAAAAACAAAAGTTTTATTAACTTTAAGGAGAAATAATAAAAACTATTAGAATTCTTAATATTATTTATAATCTATAATGCTCTACAAGAAATATCAAGTCAATTTTTTTATTCATCGATTTACATACTATATTGTTTCGATAATTACTTACGCGTATGAACACGGATAGCGTATATACGGAAGCATTTATAATTAATTTTCGGAAATAATACAGGGTATGTCATCAAAACCGTATAAATTTCAATTTAAATTTTCCGCTATATTGTGCCTCCGCCAGAGATTGTTGTTGGCGTCCGAGAAAGCCTGATGCTTCTAGTAAACAGTTATATTCTCAAAATGGCCGCGATATTGAAACCAAGTGCGGAGTATAATCGAAGAGCCGCGAAACCGTTTACAACTTTTGTTTAAAAAATTTTTTCCCAATTTTTATACTTTCGATGGTATTCGACTCAAAATAGAAATACTGTTTTTCTTTAAAAGGATGTTTCACCCCTTAAACAGTGAGTTAGCATACGTATAAAAAAATACGTCTCTTAAATTTTTTAACAATATATTTCACGGAGAATCAAATTAGTGCCGAATGGTTGGGTGGACATTCCTTGTTAGCATTGAAATTGATTATTTTAATGTGTAAGAGACAATTCATATTTGGGCGCGAAAGCTGTGAATGGGCCCGTCGTTACTCGAGTGGCATAATGCGTGGCGCATGTGCGTGAGCATGTGCGCGAAGAGGAAGATCGGGAGAAGAAAAAATGGTGACAGACAGAAAAGACGCTGTGTGTCATTCGGAATAATACATTGTTCGAAAAGCTGGTTATGGCCTGCGAAATTTATGTGTAACTGTATTAAGTTGCCCACAATAAAATACTTATTAGTTCTTGCTATTCCTTTTTGGTCTCACAAATACAAATGTTGAAATGGTGGCGAGTGCTCTTGTTACCCACCCAGTGCTCATATTACCCTCTGAGTAGGCTAATATGAGCATCTTTAGGGATAATATGAGCACAGAAAAATTTTTTAAAAATTATGTAAAAATAAAAGACTGAAATATATATATTCGTATATAGAATATTTTATTAGAACATATGTCAATCAATGTTTGTTTAATATAACCAAAAAATAATGTTATATTTACAAATGTTTAATAAGCATTACCAAATGGTAACAGTTTGGAAATCAGTAACTTTAAATACTTATAATTGAAATATATATTATTATAGCCTCGACATTTTGGTATTACAATTATTATCTGTAAATTATCTCAAGAATATGTCATTAAGAGGAAATGGGTTCAAGTAAGATAGAAGCGCTTTATAAGCGTTATGTGCTATTTGGGGTAGAGGAGGAAAATTTTCTTATGTATTTTTATCGACTTATGACAGATCTTACGCAAATTTAAATAAAAAAAGATATCATATATCATCCAGTGATATATCACTAATGACATTTTAGGATTTAATAAATGCAGATTTTCAGAAATACGGATTCATGAATGTTAAAATGAAATCTTTTTCAATCCTGAATGCATTTTTATTCATTTATAGAAATTGCATAAAGTATATCTCTATATCTTTCAATCTAAAAATAATATTAGCATTTTCTGTGCATCGTGAATACTGCTCAATTTAATATTCTGAATATGAAATGCAGGTTTTCAATCTAATCGAATAGAAAAAGTTTTTATTTACAAATGAATCATAAATACTACTTAAATAATTTAAAATTATAAGTAGGAAATTTTTCGTTTTAATCCAATTAAGTTCAAAAAAGTTGTAACGTAAAAATAATTGAGCTATGTTCTTTTGTTTCTCTTTAATTAGAAGTACAATGAATGGTCGATGTGAACACTCGCAAACCAAATCGAACACAGTCCGAATATTAGGCTAATCACGACATCGGTCAAGCGAGATTAGTTTATCCGACATTTACTCAATGTTGTTTCATAGTAATGTAAATTGTTTATATTTTATTATATTTGTCAAATGATGATATTTTTATTATATTTATATAATTTTGTTAATAATTTAGCTGGTTGTAATTGAAGTAAAAAAAGAATAACACATTTACCAATTGAAGAAGTGGTGTAGTGGGGGTAACATAGAAGATTCATAATCGAGAGATTCCAGGTTTGAATCCCACTAAGGTGCATATTTTTAATACTAATTTGAATTAATTAATTTCAGGTATAAATCTATTATAAATGTCTTAGGAATAAAATTTGTGACCCTTAAATATGAATATATTTTTTTTCGAATATTAAACTAGTGTCAGATCGGATCAAATTCATTCAATCCATTTTCATGAATTTAAAGTACGCATTAAAAAAATTTTAATCCATTTTAATCCATTCTCGTTTGCTGGGTTATTTTTAATTAATCGCTTTTATGTATATTTTAATACATTTCCTTTATTATACAGCTAGCCAGTATATTTTTTGTATAAAAGTTTGAAAATAATAACTATAGAATTTCATATAATTATTACTTTAATTTATTTAAACTTTTACATGTATAAAAATTTTTTATACGAAATCCATTTTTATGGATTTAAAATACGGATTCGGATGAATTGAAAATTTCCAATCCATTTTCGTTGCTGTATATCTGTAATACATATATATTGTCTTAAAAACATTAATGTGGCCTTCTAATTCGACTTCTTAAGACTGTACTTAAGACGGTCTTGATATATAAGATCTGATTATGAATACCGGTCTAGATAATTTTATCTCGATACAAACAAACATAGCTTGAGAAATGATCGATCTCGGTTTTTTTTTAACTCACGCGCGCATTTACCCAACTTCCTTCAGCCGTATTCACGTCGGAAGTACGTCATCCGCGGGATATTTCGATAGACAGCGGTGGAGATAGCGCCCGCGTCGATCGCGAAATCTAACGAGCCCATACGGAAGTAGCCGAAGCGAGGTAGTTGCGGTCGCCATTTTCTCGGGTAGTCATCCGAAATCATCTTGTCTCTGTCACCACGGTTAATTTTGACCGTATCTCGTTCCGGACGGGGTAAAAGACCGCCTCCTGTCCGCCGTATACGTGCCACGCCGACCGTACGTCGCACCGCAAATGGCTTGTCTGAACACCCTTAAGCAGGAAATCAAAACGCTCGAATCCGTCTTCCCCAAGAGCCATGAGAGGTTTCAGATAATGTCTGCGAGCGTGGACGAACTCAGCTGCAGATTCGTCGGTAAAAATGGGAAGAAGTATGAAATACACGCCAATATCACAGTAAGTGTAACACGCGCGCGCAAAACGTGTGCCCGCTCTTGGACGCTTCGTTTTACGTCCTGTTACGTCCTCTGTGTAGCGTGAATGAGTGAGTGCGTGCGTGAATACGTGCGTACTTTCATTCGCTGCCTCCTTTTGTTTCGTTCATCTCGTTTTCTCTGGGATACTCGCCTGAGTTTTGTTACAAATGATCAATGGACGAGATACTTGTTTTGTGCCGTGAACAGGACACCTCGCGGCCAATATTGCAGCTTCCACGTCTTTCGCCTTTCTCGATCATCTTCGACGCCGATCGATTTTTTTCCTTACTTTTTATCCTTCGCGAACGCGAGAACTTTTGTCGAATAAAAAGATCGAAGTCTGTCCTTTCGGACAGGGAAGTTCTGCCGTTCCGGGATCTCTCAGGGATTGTTTTTTTTTTATCCTGATGTGTCGCAGACAAAGGTGGAGAGAAGAGGATCCAGACAAAGAATCTCGAACGATCTCGAAGAATGTCGAATCTCAAAGCATTATTCGATCGCGCATTTAGGGACGCAGTTTTCGCGACGAGTCGATTTTTTTCTTTTTCTCTCGCTCTCTTCCTTTCTTTCCTTCTTTCTCTGGTAACGTTGAGGCGCGACATCCTATGCGTGTGTACGAACGTGCGATGTTAGCACGAGGAACGTCGCAATCGAACGCGATCCTTTTGCAATGCGTATTTCTACTTGTATATGATTACAACGTATTTCAGCATCATTTACCGATTACGTGACAGATGTCAGTGTGTGCGTGAAAGTTTCTTTTTTTGTGTTTCTTTCGTATGAGTGTTTAAACAGTTATAACGTATATAATTGCGTGTATGTACAATTTTGTGTTGAAAGTTATCTTTCATTTGTTTCCTTTTACAATATGACCTTAGTGCCAAACACGTTAGAATGTGTTCCATTCTGCGCTCGTAACATTCGCGAGCATCTTCGAATGATAAACAACAAGGATGAAACGATTCCAAAGAACGTTACGAGTGTCAAATGGAATGCAGTCTATTTCCATCAATGTAGATTAACTTTAATCTAGGTTCAACTTGGGATACTTTCCATTTTGGTGACTCAAGTTGACACAAGCATCAATCTTCCTTGACATTCAATGAGTAACAAGGATAGAAAGATACTTGTGTTGATTTGTGTCATCAAATGGAAAGTATTCTTCTCTTTTATCTTTTTCCAAGAATTAGAAAAAGATAAGTTGATTAAAGTTAATCTAGATTGATAAAAATGGGCTAACAGTTTGTTTTTTATTCATAGGTTGCATTTAGGGAGATGCCCTTAGCACTATTTGTGTCATCTATCTTTGTTTTACGTCTAATAAAGATAAAGATAAAATCATATAAATAGTCCTAATAACATCTCCTCGAATGCACTTTTACACTAAAATGCATTAAGCCTTATGTCTGCTTATTATCTACAGTGCTAAAAATTAGTTCGAGATTTCAGATAGAGAAAGAATTGATCGATAGTATTGAGTTTGTTCAGATATGATTTATTAATTCTTTGTCTGAATCTTGAAGCGATTTCAAGTATCATGGATACAAAAGTCTTCAGAATTATCCTCGATTTCACCAAATTTCAAAAATATTTTGATATTTTAGTTTATAATATAGTATACTACTATATATACTACTTTACTTTATAATATACTTTAATAGAAAATGTACACTAGTTTAGAAAATGTATAGAAAATGTGATATATTAGTCCCAGAGGTTTATTTTCTATAGATAATCAATGATATTTTTTCGTTATGCAACCAGAAGCAACTAAGATTATCTTAGATTTTTGATTCCTGAAGATGAAGACAGCTTTAGCTGTAGTTGCTTCTGGTTGGATAAAAAATACACTCCAATACAGTTTTGGAACTTAATATAAAATAGATATATGATTTAGTGAAATCGAAAAGGAAAGTTCTAATGCAGTCTGATGTAAAAATAAAAAAATGGATATCTAATGTCTATTCTTTGCAGTTGAACTAATTGCATTTATGTACAATGAATTCTTTCTGACAAAAGACACAGATGACACAGTGTAAGCTAAATCAAATAAGAAATTAAGATTGAGATTGGATTAGAACTTAACCAATCAGATGAAAGAAAACCAAATTCGAGTTTAGTGAACTTTTGGTTTGATTGGTTAAATTCCAATCTAATCTCGATCTCTAATCTATTTACAGCTTAATAGATTGCATTATTACTAATTATTTACTAATGTTGAACAAAGATGAAATGTTACACTGTCTCTTGATAGAAAGTATTAATTACTCGTACTTAAAATTAAATAGATATTATATTGGAAGTCTGGCGAAGGCAAAATGGTTTAAGTTACAATCCAGTGCAATGACAAAGAACAGACTTATTACCTTCTTCAGACTTATTACTGTTCATAATTGCATATATTAAATACATAAATTATTTATTATTTAGTTATAGCCATTAATTATAAGATTGCATTAATTTAATAATGTTTACATAGGAAACCTATCCTTCAACGCCGCCCGTCTGGTTTGCCGAATCCGAGGAGACTAGTGTTACGAACGCTGTACAAATTTTAAGTAACACAACAGGCCGTGACAACCATGTAATCAACCAAGTTGGTATCCTGTTGAAAGAGTTGTGCAGACTACACTCATTACCGGAACCACCAGATGTTGAAAGGCTGAGAACCGCTTTGGATCCTTTACGTTTAGGAGGATCGAATGAAGCTGTGGCGCAAAGGATGGATGCTGAAGACTTAGACGATATTGACGAAGATGAAGAGAGCGAGACTGAAGAAGACCTTCATCTAGATATGGACGAAGGAGATGCTAATTCTAAAAATAAGGTAAAGAGAAATGAATTAGTGATATGAATTAGATTGATTTATTTTAGTTATTTTTGTCGTCAATCTTTGTTATTAATATTTGTCATTGATCTTTAATAATACAGAGTGAAGAAATGGATTTGGAACATCTCGCGACATTGGAAAGGTTGAGACAGAATCAGAGACAAGATTATTTAAAAGGATCTGTTTGTGGAAGTGTACAAGCTACCGATAGACTCATGAAAGAATTGCGTGATATATACCGAAGTGACAGCTTTAAAAAGGGTATGTTATTGATAATGAAGTTTCCATGGATATTTACTTTAAATATTTACGTCAGACGATTTTTACGGGTTATAGTTGTGTCGTGTTCTATTGCTAATAGGTATATTTCGTAAACCTTCCATCAGAACGAGGAGCGCGCTCATACTGAGCTGTCCACCGAACTCCTTTTATAATCGTTGTTGAGGGAGAAGGGAGAATGGGAAAAGTGGCACCTCCTTAGCTTGTCAGGAGAACATATTTTACTTACGTTAAAATCTATATGTCTGTTTAAATTATTTGAATGTTTTTGTATTTCTCGAACCTCTTTTTATTTGCTCGGAAAATATGACTCAATATATATAGTATTATATATATTATATATATAGTAGTCTTTTTATTAAATAATATTTTATCAAAAGAATTTCAAGGAAGATAGAATAAATCTGTATAAAGAAAAATCATAAAGATTAAAAACCTTCACTCCGTTCCGTAAAAATATAATATACCTTGCTCTTGCGAGAAAGTATAGATCGGTGAAACGATTAATGTGCGCATGAAGGAATATCAACGGGATATCAGATTGAAACATGTCATACAATCAGCATTGTCAAAACACAGTATTGAGACAGCAAATACTATTTGATAAAACGATTACTATAATTATAATGACATCGTGTTTTCTGAATAAGTACAGGGAGAAGTTTTAGAGAAATACAGAAACATCTGGATAATTTAAACAGAAATATACAAGATTATAATGTAAGTAAAATATGGGAGACTGATCTCTTAACAAACTAAAAAAGTGGTTTTTTCCCACTCCCGCTTCCCTCTTCTCCTCAACAGTGTTTATATAAAGGAAATTCTCTGATGGTGCAGCTCAGTATTGCTTGGTATCAGAGTGATACTAGGAAGTGAACAGTAAGATTTACGAAACAATGAATAACAACGGCGATAACCCTCTGCATCTTTGAAGAATATGTTGTTTTGAAAGTTTTGAGATTACAATTAAGTTTTTATAGTATACATGCATTTTATATGTATATAGTTTATAATTAGTTATGTTTTTAAATTTGATAAATTTTTGAAGTAAATTCTTTACATACAATAAACAAGAAAATCATGCGAACCTAAAAATGTGTAGGATAAAGGTTAAGAGATTAGATAAAAATTATTGAAAGACATTTAACAACAAAATTTTATTCAACTGACGATATTTGATTAGTATTAAGTCAGTTTGCCAGAATTATTCGAGATGTTCTCTATTGTTTGATTGATTGCAATTTTAAATCCCTTGTATATTCAAATTTTTAATTGAAAATGGAAACATGTGCTTCATTAATATATTTTTGATACTTGTGAAACTATTTATATTTTGTGAACTGTGACTTGATATTAATTCAAGTCAAAATTTTATTGTTGAATTTTTCAATAATAACAGCATTGCCATCTAGTCACTTAAGTTATTTTTTACGTTTTTTTTTACAAGTCACATCCAAAATAGATTACAATAATTCACCATTAAAAAAATTTTTTATCGCGTGTAGTTCCTGAGATGAGGTTCCTTCTGTCCTCTTTTTAGACAATATAGCACAAAGACATTCAACCAACCTCTTATATTAATTCTCTTTTCCATTCGTAATTCTTTAACTACAACATTTCTTATTAATAATTTTGTTTTTTTTTAAATCCGTACATTAGCCTTTTAAGCACCGAAAACTCTTTAACTTGCATATATAGGATGTGAGTGATAGGACGGGATCGAACCTGGAATTACAAATCTTGAGTCGATGATATAAAGCGTATATTATTCGATATTCTTCATTTTTCTTGAGCTGAAATAGTTAATAAAACAAGCATTCATATTTTCTCATCTGATAACAGTTGACACTTGCTCACTGTTGCTTGTTAAATACTGACACTATTATAATTTGTCGCCTTTAAGTTTCAAATGATGTGAAACTAAAAGGCAACATAACTTTCAAAAATTATACTTATTTTTCGCATATTCAAATATGTTTTTGTTTTTTGTTGGATTTTAAAAAATTTATTTTTTTTTATCATCTGATGAATGTGTTGTCAAAAGAATTTTGAAATATTCTATATACATTTGATATTTTTTTTTCCAGGAATGTATAGCATAGAACTAGTAAATGACAGTTTGTATGAATGGAATATCAGATTGATGTGTGTAGATCCTGATTCACCACTTCATAGCGATCTCATTCTTTTGAAAGAGAAAGAAGGCAAAGACAGTATTCTTCTCAATATGCTTTTCAAGGTAATAAGGCTAAACTTAAGACTTAAGCTTCGAATAGTAGTAATAGGAATAGTATTATAGAGACTGATGTAGTCCCATTTGTTGCTACTGTATCATCTAGGTCTAGAGAATTTTTCTATAACTTCTGACAGATTAGTTCCAGCTCAATGTTATGTACTGAGTCTTATGAGACTGCTCAATCTTCTTCTCCCTCAGATCTTAAGCTTAATGTAATCCGAGGATATATACAATCCTTTATATCCTTAGACTTAGTATAGGTACTAGTACCTGTATCTTTTTAATCGTGCTTTTTTGATCAATCTCTTATAAAACGTATATATATATATATATATATA